ACAGGTTCTGATGTATATGCTTTTATTTGAATACTGACTCCAACTTTGACTAGCTTTATAGTTTCAGGCATTTTTTTAACTTCTCTGAACTTTAATTTCCTCCTATCTGAAATAAAAATAATAATATAATTAAATATAATTTTTTAAAGTTTGTTTAAAGAAGATAATGTGAGCACAGCTTTTAGTGGATGCCTACCATACAACTGATAGTCAAATTCAAAACCATTAGTATCACTGTGTGACAATGACCAATAAATAACAGAATACTCCCTGTTAGGTATACAGATATTTAATAGGTAATAAAACCTTTGGGTTTCATGCTTTAAGCTCTGTGGTAAAAAAATTAGGAAGCTTTACATAGACAGCATCTCTCTCAGGACATGGACCCTTCATAACTAAAACTTTAAGGTCTAACTCCTCAGCAACTGAAGCAGAAATAATTGGTTCACTATTAAGCACAAAGAAAATCAGTAGTTTTATGTCTGAGATTACATAAGAAGCAGGAATAATATATAGAACAATGTATAAGATTTTATGTTATTTTTTGTGGTGCTGGGGATCGAACGCAGGGCCTTGTGCATGCAAGGCAAGCACTCTAAACAGCTGAGCTATATCCTCAGCCCTATATAGTACAATGTTCAAGGTAATCATTATCCAACACACAAGTTATGATCTTTTCAGAGTATTATGTATCTTGATCACTCAACTTGGTCAATGGAAGTCAAGCAATAATTCCATAAGATAGCCTGTGTCTTTCTAGTTTATCAAAAAAACAAATGGTCCCCGAGAAACAAAAAGCAACAAAGATTCAAAAACAATGCAAGAGAGAATTTAAGATGGTAACTAAAAGTAAGGAAGAACCAATAAAAGACTTGAGGTTCAATAACAGGCCTTCACTTACTAAAGAAACGCAAGAAAATAGAGGGTCCAGGTCTAGGAATAATAGTATTACTGGGTGGGTTTTTGGAACACAAATATCAGTACTGAAGTAGATACAAGCAGAAATGAGAATAAAAATATTTAACTTATAAGGACAAGTACTGTCATAAGTAATATTGGAGTTGGGTCCTAGAGGCTTGTTGTTTTTCTGTTAGTTGTTGGATCATGGGGAGATACAAGGGCCCAGAAGGAGGGGCCAGAGTATGTAGTGCGGTCTTAGGGGGAGGACTTGTAAGGCTAGGAGCAGCATCTTCATAAGAATTGGCATGGGAATATTTCAACATGTTTAGTAACCACTAAAGCCACACTGATTAATACCAACAATAGAACTGTCATTGATACAAGATTCAGGTGACATTATGAAGAGTCCAGGCAGAACTACCAATATAGATTATTTAGAACTCCATGACAATTTTCTCATGGCCTAAAGTTAGATTGTGATGATTTACTATTGCTCTCTGATCCTGTATCAGCGAGGTTGAAAGCTCAGTAAAAAACAGAAACTGGATCAATTTTGTTTAACATTTAGACCTATCACTTACCAAAGTCCTCAACAAATATTTGTTCAATGAATGAAAAGCCAGGCAGTTTTTCCTAATAGCTTGAGTATCCCAAAGAAATGTCTCTCTGGAAGATAGAAAGCTCTAAGAACTTATTCTAATTTTGAAGTTCTAGTCCAGATTCAAGCTGGTCTTATAATCATAAATTGTTATATAGAACATTTATATATTACTTCCTAAGTTTTTGCTAAGGAGAAGACTATAAAGGCATTCTACAATAATATGGATGCCCTACAGTACACTGAATTCTTAAGAGAATGACAGAAGTCCCTGAGATCCTGAAATGGTCCCTAAACTTTTAACATTTTACTTAAATTCTATTTAGCAGAAATTGGTCTAGTGTACAAATGTCAAGAGAAATAAATTTTAGGAAATAGCCAACCTTTGAACCTCAATCACTGTCAGATAAAAATAAAGTCTTTGACAATTTATATTTCTCATGATGAACTGCCTCTGTTCATTTGAGGAAGTAAAAACCAGAACAATATTGCAGTTCTGTAAGTTACAAGTTTCTCAGTTTTAAATAGAAATAGCAGAAAAATTCTGACTTAGCTGCCCATAAAAATAATACAATATTTTTAAGTTGAAGTTATCAACTTCATTATACTTCATAACTTACTTATTATCATATCTTGATTTGGTTCCCATAAATTTTACAGGTATGCTGGGTTTTTAAAATTTTTATTTGTTTATTCTTATGTGGTACTGAGGATCAAATGCAGGGCCTCATGTATATGAGGCAAGCACTCTACCACTGAACTATAATCCCAGCCCCAGATATGCTGTTATATATAGTAATTAAAAGGCTATTTTCATAAAATTGTTACAACTGCTTATTTATAATAAATAATAAATATTATGACTTGATATTTTACAGATATTTATTAAATGTAGTTTTTTAAAGGCTGTTTCCCAAAATCATTGCAACAGCTTATTTATAATGAATACTAAATATTATGTCTTGATTTAATATTTATTAATAAATGCTAAATTTATCTATTAATAAATACTAAATCAAGACATAAGAATATGAACATTTAGAAAATCCCACAGTAATGGTTGAGAATCAAAAGTCCCAAATTACTCATAGGCATTTTTGATATTTTGAGAAATTTTTTGCCAGCAATTTTTTTCTTTTATTTTTACTATTAAATAATTATTTTATTTTTCATGAATTTTCACATATGCTTAATCAATTGGCTAATTTTCCATGCAAGTGACTAGTCATGAAAACATTAAACGGCTTTTAATTTAACTTATTGATTTCTTTCTTTCCTGTATTGATTGAAAACAGTTGTACACTTAACTACACAACTAATTCAGTTTATTCCACACAATAATCCTTATCCAACCATTCCTTCACCCTTAATCCAAGTCAGTATCATGTAGTAATGATATATTAACTAAACTTACCTGTTAAAAGAAAGAAAAATTAATTATATTTGGAGATAGAGTGATATCCTGCCCCCAAAGCAGAAGCTATATACTTTGGTTTTAATAAGATCCAGACAGTCAGCTTACAACCTTGCTTGTTTCGTGTAAGTGGTAGCTCTTGCCATAAGAACCTCATGGAATTTCACTGTATGTATGCATATTCTGCCAAAATACAGTCTACTATCATGTATAACTAAAAATAAAAATTAAATTTTATAAAAAAAAAACCTCATGGAGACTAGCTTCATCTGGAAATTAGTCCAAGAGGCAGATTAAGCCTAAAAATTCCAAGAATCCAGGGTAGACTCTATTCTTTGAATAGGGTTCAAGTTTCAAGGATTCTCCTGAAAAAAAAAAAAATTTACCTCAAATTGGTTCAAACCCTTTCTGGGCCAAAGATGAAATGCAGTTTAAACTGACCAATAAATGCAGGAAGCAACACTATATTAAGCAACATTCTTAACCTCTTGAACTTCTTCCCTGTGGAAATATGGCAATTCTCTTCAACTGCTGAATCACTAACGTTATACAATTTTTAAAAATACATATTTTTAGTTGTAGTTGGACACAATACCTTTATTTTTCAGTTTACTTTTATGTGGTGCTGAGGATCAAATCCAGTGCCTCACATGTGCAAGACAGTGCTCCATGATGAAGTTATACCCCAGCCCACGTTCTCCAATTTTTATAAGCATAAACTAATATTTTCAACTACTGCAGCAGTGAGACAGAAATAAAACCATTATTCCATATATTTCAAATATATTTTTGAAAGAGAAAAGTATAATCATAAATGTGATACCTATAGTGAAAAATAGAAAACCCAAACTATGCTAAATTGCAAATTAATATGTGTATTTCATTAAAACATTGAAGTTAACAGGTATAACATCAGACTAAAACATAACACCAAACTCACTATCTTTGCTTATTTGATGATTACAGTATATTTTAGCCAATTTTAATCATAGTATTTTTATACAGGAAGCATTTTGATGAGGTTGGAAATAAATATAGGTAAAAGGAGGATATTTTAAACCTGAGAGCATAAATATGCATTTTAATTAGATATTGGCTCAATACATTTTTTATATAGTATTATATAGTCTCAACACTATTTATGAATAGATACATTTCATAAATCAAATATTAACACATGGCACTGTACCTAAGAAAATTATTCAGACCAGAATTATTGACTAACAATACTTAATTCAGTTTAGAAAATATAGATTTTAATACATTCTCATTTTGATAAATCTTGTGCTTAAAATGTACAAATTTAACCAAATAGAAGACAATATACACACAACTCATTTTCAGTATCTATATGAGAGTCAGTTTTTTCAAAACATTTTACCCATCATCATTTCAGAATCAAACATATGAAAAATAGAAATCGAGATTATGTGAAAGAATGAAGGGGAAAAGAGTGATGAAGGGATAAACAGGATAAATCAAAGATGCTTATTATTATATTATAAAAATTTGAAGAAAATGAAAAAATCTAAGGAACATTTAATGAAAATAATGAGTTATAAGGCTATTTAGGTGACACACTATATATAATATAATCAAAGACAAAAGAGATAATTGGAGGGGAAGGAGTGATTACTAGTGCACAAATATTATTACTATATAATGCAGCCATATAAAACCATAGTGTAAATTCATAACACTATATTTAACAAGCAAAGATGTGTGATAATCACTAAGAGAAGTGTGAAGTATTAACTGCGGAGTTTTGTTTACAAGTCTGCAATAAACCATACTATCCCGTAAGGTTAATTTATTTAATTCAGATTCCTAAATTTCAATTCTATGTTGCTGACTTTTATTCTAACCCAGGATACTGTATGTTTTCATTCATCCCATCCATGAAAATAATTAGGAAGAACATACAGATGTAACAAAGTTGATGTTTATCCCAGGAAAATTCAAAATATACAGTTTTAAAACAAACAGCACTGACAAAAATCACTATTTTTCTTAATACTTTTTTCATTTTTCTTTCAAATGTTATTTAAATTCAATTTTGTTTAAAGTATTTTTGAATAAACCCCATACTCCAATTTTATATGAAAATTATATATCATGATATATAATTTGTAGTATATATTATTATGATTATGTATAATATACGACATAAATTATAACATAATTTTCCATCTTAAAGGGGAAGTAAATTGTCTTCTGTATCTACAAGTTTGTTTTTCCAAACATTTGAGATCTTCTTACATGTTAATAGTTTGCAAAATTTTATATATTTCTTTTCATTGCATAGGCATTCAAATACACCAAGAAATGAAACATATGATATGTGTGTGTGTGTGTGTGTGTATGAATGTGTAAAATTTTACTAGGATATTCTGATTGTCAATGTAAAGGATCCTGGATGTAAGAAATAAAATGAAGGATTTAAGAAATAAATAAAATGAAGGAGTTAAGAAATAAAATGAAAATTTAAGCACTACTAATGTCTATTAACCTTTTTGTACAGAAATAAATGTCCCATTCTGAATAGCTTTTAGTGGTCCTTTCAGTAGCTTAGAGCAAACACGCACTTCTCATCCCACTTTTGTTGTAAATAAAGTTGATTGACAGTGAGCTGATTGATTTGGTGTGTCAGTGACTACTCTGTAGATAAGCACATAATCATTAATGATGTCAAAACAGTAAGAAAACATACTCATAAAACTTAGTTATTATAGTTATCTCCTACAACAACTTGAATGTACACTGAGTCAAATAATTTTTTAAAGCAGCATGATAATCATACCTCAAAAGAGATTTTATGTGACATGATAAGCCAGAGAAGATTATTCTTACTGAAGTCTTGCTGAAGTTAATCAAATTAATCTACAGTTGATTCCTACTATAAATGTGATACAAGTTCCCTACTTGTCTGGTTTGATATTTGTAAGTTAGGAGTGCTAAATTCAGAACTGTTTCCATGAGAAATGTTACGAAGATTACATAGTGTTAAAGAGTGCAGAAGAGCTTCCCGAGCTTTTGATGCCTCTATGTTCTGCTCTTGGGAAATTTGAAGACTAATCTGATTTATATTGTTCATTAGCAGATTGGAAGCTATAAGATTGGTTATGGAGCGACACCTGGTGAGATTTTCTTCCAAAAATTGTTTATAGAGTTCATCGACCTTTTTTTCCATATAGCTATTAAGCATAGAATTGGAGAGAGGCTGCTTATGAAACAGCATACTTTTTTCTCGAATTTCATCTCCATTCAATAACTTTGAGGTGGGTGTTTTCTCCAGAGGCTCAATGATAGGAGAATGGCCCAATGGTATATCTACTGAAAGTAAAAGGGGACCATTAGAAACATCATCGTGTGTGTGTTCAACAAAGCAGCCTGAATCATACATGTTCCCCACATGATCACCTCCAATCTGTAGATCAGGATAATTCTGGCAAATACTGGTACATGACCAGGATCGATATAAATCCACTTGTCTTTCATCATGTTGTTCTCTCTTTGGAATGGTCAATGCAATGGACACAGTTCCTGGAAGAGGTGTATTTTTGCATTTTACCGCAGATAGCTCATCCACAGATTTTATTTTATTTGTATCATTACTTTGTTCATTTAAACTTTCTTTCATAATTTTTTCTTGATTTTCACTCTTAAGGGAGGAAATTGAATTGTCTTCTATATATAAAAGTTTATTTTTCCAAGTTTCTTTTTCATCATTTGATGTCTTCTTACATGTTACTGGTTTGCAAAATTTTGTATATTTCTGTTCTTTGTATGGGAGTTCAATTAGGAAGGCTTCTCCAAGCATTTTGTTAAAGAAATTTTCTAAAAGGAAGACTGTAGTATTCCTATAACATAAAAGAACTCATTAAGGCAATGTATATTACAATGTCAAATAAGTATTTATCTCCTATGTGAAGAAAAGATAAAGAAGGCAATATTTATAAAAGGATAGAGAATAAAGCTAGGAATAAAGAGACTTTAGTTCCAGTACTACCATTGACCACTTTTTATTGGATAATTTATTTCTTACTCATCATTTTTGCATTAGTTAAAGAGTAACATTATTTTCTTTCTTCACAGGTTTATCACCATGATAATACTATTTGTGTGTGGTGCTGGAGACCAAACATGTAAGTTCAAAATGCTAGGCAAGCTAACCACCCCAATAAGGATAATATAATATAGTGCAATGCAAGTTTACAAATGTATAATTTTTACATTCAGCTGTCATTTAGATTTATAATTGACTAAAATGCCCAAACAATTTTTCTTCCAAGAGTCTACTTAAAGCCTGCTTTCAAAGATATACCATTGGTTTTACATGTTCTTTTAATTAATATTGTTGAAGCATAACATTGAAAATTACTATAACCTAAATTGCATAAGTTGTAGGAAAATATATATTATTTGAACTCATGCAAACTTCTGATTTATAATAGAAATACAGCCATTTATTTTTCAATAATATAAATGCAAATAGGTTTCTCAAATTCACTACCATTCTTTTTTCCTCTTTTTCTTTTTTCTTTATGCTTCTTTCTAATTTTCATTTTCTTCTTTTAGACTCAAATCTTATGGTAATAGGCAGGTATTTCAATATTTTCATGGTTCTTTAGTGCCACTGGAAGAATTTCTTCATTTCATATACTTTATTAAGGCATGAAAAGAAAAAGTAGACTTGATTCAAAACACAAATTTCCTTTTTCAAGTCTATAGTGTCTACTATAAATGTTCCCAGGAAATCTACTTTTATTCATACTTAAAAGAGTTTTGGAATAAAATAAAGTAATATGAGCTGGAATATGTTAGAATTTAGACTTACCTTTTCAAAATGTCAATGTACTTTCAGATTTGGTCTTCCAAAGTTCCAACACTCCAAACACAAAAAAGTCGTTGGTTCTCAGCTTCTACTCAACATTTCAGAAAGATAGCTTTAACCACATAAAATGCTTCTGCTTTCTGTTCATACCCTACGACTGAAACAAAGTAATAGGAAAATGATGTGGGTTGATCACATGTCTGGTATGGTAATGATCATATACCAAAAGAGGATCTTGAAAGTGTTTATTCAAGTTGGAAATGAAATTGAGAGTCAGAAAATGTTAACAACAGCTTTCTTCAAGTAAATGAAGGTAGAGGCAAGGTTATTTTCATTTTTTAAATGGAAAAAAAAGTGGTACCAGTATATTTTGTAATAATGAATAATTTGAAATAATCCAAATGGCCATTAATAAGAGCATGGTTAAATAAATTATGACACAGCTGAGGAGTGATACTGGTCAAAAAATAGTAGTGTGTTTTGTGCATGTATGAATATGTAATAACAAATTCCATAATTATGTACAACTTTAATGCACCAATAAAATGTGGAAAGAACAAAACAAACAAAAAATGGTTTAAATGGTAGAAAAATCATGATACATCTAGGACATGAAATATTAAACTGCTTTTATTAGTGCAGCATAATTATACATTGAAGTGGGTTCATTTTGACATAATATACACATGCATAGAATACAATTTGTTCCATTACAGTACTTCCTCTTTCTCTCTACTTCTCCTCCCTCTGTTCCCCTTCCTCTACACTACTGGTCTTCCTTCTAATTATTTACAGATTTTAAATTGGTACTTTATAGATAAAGTGAAATTCACATGGTGTAGTCATAGCAAAATTTGGTCAATTTCATTGGATAATTCCTCCCTTTTCTTGTTCCCTCTCCTTCTCCCTTAATAATCTTCCCCTACTCCATTGATGTTCCTTTTATTTTCATGGTGCCCCCTTCTCTTTTTCTCTTATTTTGCTCTAGCTTCTACATATGAAAGAAAACATTCAAACCTTCCCTTTCTGAGTCTAGCTTATTTCACTTAGCATAATGTTCTTCAGTTCCATCCATTTACCAGCAAATGCCAAATATCATTCCTCCTTTTGACTGTTCAAATTCCATTTATATATTCCATTCATATCTTCCATATGAATTCATATATTCCATAACATTTTCTTCATCCATTCATTTTTTGATAGACACCTGTGTTGGTTCCATAATTTTGCTATTGTGAATTGTACTGCTACAAATATTTATGTGCTTGTATCACTATAGTATGCTAATTTTCATTATTTTCGATAAATATCAAGGAGTGAAATAATGGGGTATTATGGTAGTTCCATTACTAATCTTTTGAGGTAGCTCCATATTGCTTTCCAAACTAGTTGAACCAATCTGCAGTCCCACCAACAATGTATGAGTGCACCTTTCTCTCCATATCCTTGCCAGAATTTATTTGTATTGTTGATGATTTGTATTCTAACTGGAACGTGATGAAATCTCAGTGTGGCTTTAATTTATATCTGAGAATTTTTAATGATTTAATAGCAAGTATCTATTAAATAATTACTACCAGTTATTCTACATATTCTATGTACACTACTTAAACAAGATATTATTCCCATTTACAGAAAACAAAGCAGAGAAAAAGATATACTTGCTGAAGGTAATAAACAGGTAAATAACAGAACTATGATTAGCATCAAGCAATGGATTCATATCCAATGCTGTTAATCACTATACCATATTTCCTAGTTATCTGTATAGAATGCACGTTGCAGAATAGAATATGCAGTATGATTCCATCATGAATTGCTTGTGCTATGTGTCAACACTTACAAATACTTTATACATAATAATTTAATCACCATAATATATATATGAAACAGACATTATTATTTCCGTTTTACCTATAAGAAAACAAGCACAGAGAAGTTAGATAACTTGCCCGATGTTAGGCAAATGTAAGTGGTAGAGCCTGATATCAAAGCCTGTGTGCTTAACTTCCTTGCTGAGTTGACTTTCTCCCCCTTTTCATTGCCTTAATATATACAACCATTTTGGTGGGAAAGGATAAAAAACAGAACTGTTGTTCAATGTCAGGAAGCAGGTAAAGTGATATTTTTATTTTTAGACCCTGTATTTCTATATTATTTGAATTATTATATAATGAGCATGTATTCATAATAATTTTGTCACAGGAAAGCAGGGAGCTGGAACTCCAAACCTTGTTTTTGTATTCCCAGAAAGATAATTTCAAGTCAGACACCAAAAGCCATGCAAGAGAACTTTATTATAAATGAAAGTGAGGTGAAAGGAAAGTAAGGCTCAAGCAGGGAGCATTCTCAATAGAGAGAATGGGCTGTCTCCAAGCAGAGAATGACATACCACACAATGCTGTCTCTAACCTTATTACCATTTGATGTTTAGGGTCCTCTTCAGCAACCTTCACCAATCAGGTGTTCAACTCCTCCTTCATGTAGGGCAGTGGAGATTCTGACCTTAGTTGGTCCTCTCTGGAACTGTCATGGTGGCCATCCTATTTAGTGGGCTTCATCTACAAGTCAATCCCATGCTAATGTGGACATTGGAGTCAGTAACTGGTCAGAAGTTACCTTATTGCACCCACACAACTAAGGGAATCTTACTTCCCATACAAACACAAACACCTCTGGCTATAATTCCTAGCTTCACACCAACCTCAAAGATCCTGTAAAGAGTTACTCCCATTAATACTTTTATTTTAACACATTTTCCTACTAGCCCCTTTGCTTCTTTTTAAAAAAAAAATTTTTTTAGTTGTAGTTGGGCACAATACCTTTATTTTATTAATTTTTATGTGGTGCTGTGGATCAAACCCAGGGCCTGGGTGAGTACTCTACCATGAGCCACAACACTGGCCAACTGCTTCTTTTTTTTTTTTTAACCTGCTATTTGTTTTCAACAAATTAACTGCTATCCTTTGCTTTCTCTTCCACTTTGAAAGTAGTTTAAAGATCCTAAAGTAATTTAAAGAACATTTGTGACCTTGCCATGCATTTCACTATTCATTGCTAGCTACTACCCAACAATGTGAATGATTGAAAAAATAAATAATTCACACAAATGACAAGAAAAATATTTGTTATCTTTATTAAGGTTTTCCAAAGCCATAAGTAAATCTAGATATAAAGTGCTAAAGTAGACTGAGAAGCATAAAGAAAATTTTTACATAGTTAATATTTTGGGCTACAATTATAAATATAGCTTTTGTTTAATAGTATTTTATCATTTTAAATAATTATCAAAAAAACATGCTACAGAGTAGGTTACATTTAACTTTGTAGGCGATACCAATCAAATTCTTTATTTTAAGCTGTCAAGTTATTCTCTGACAAGTAATAGTGCATTAATTGGAGCCAAGGAAATGGCTTATCTTGAACTGAGGAAATATGTTACAATCCACATGAGAAAGATAATAAAAACAATTTAAAAAATTGATTTCTTACCCATAGTATTAAAACGGAATATTAAAAGGAAATGGAGATGTCTAATTCCTCCTACATTATACTCCTTTATTGTTTTTTTGCCTTGCTGACCCCTACATCCAGCTGATCCAAGTTGTATTGGATGTCCTGTCTTTTAAAAGCTCTGCCTTTCACAATTGCCATGATCTTTAGTTCTTGGATTGCTGCAAATGCTTCCAGTCTGGCCCTCTTCTAATCAAATTAACATGTTAAATTGATCTGCCTTTCATGAAAAACTGCTAAAATTTTCAAAGGCTTCTATCACCCATTGATTAATACAAGTTCATACAACTTATGACATGCCTCAAAGTGAAAGATTCTTACAAACGTTTTACATTTAATCTTCACAGAAGATTTACAAGTTATGATTATCCGTAATTTGGCACAACAGGAAACAACTTTGAAAATATTATTAAATAATATAAAAATAAAATGAAACTAAAATCCAACATGAAATCTGAAAACCTCTCTGTTGATTTTCCCAGTTTACCTCCTCAGCCTCCCTTTTATTTCTCTACTTGCTTCCAAAGCTACAATTGCCATTTTTTTTCATGACTCCTCTCTCTACCAAAAAGTCCTTTGTTCTTCTAAATTCCCTGCAGACTATATATCCTTCAGGTTGTAGTTTAGCTCTCAATTATTCAGGGCTGCCTGCCTTGACCCACTAGTCTCGGTTAGTTTTCTCTATATTTACCTACTTTTGTTAGGTTTTACTCTGTGAGTTACTTGAAGGCAAAAGTAGGGTTTTTTTTTTTTTGTTCATTGATGTGTTCTGAATATGTCTAGCAATTATTATCATCAATAATTATTATTACCATTTTCTGAACTACTATTTAAATGGTGTGTCAAACACTTTTCACATACTTAATTCATTTGATCCTGACAAGGATATTGGTAGGTAGGTATGACCATACTCATTTTAACCACAGAGATACTGACAGGAAGTAAGTAAGTAATCTGCCCCCAAATCCATAGTAATTAAGTGGGAGAAACATAGAATATGAATTTGCCTAACTCGGAAGCTGGGGCTGAGCAGTTCTTTGGTCCTTTGCTCTTAATTTCCATTATCATCTACCCACTTTTGGGAAACACCCAAAATATCACTACATTCCACTACTGAAAAAGATTAACTGGAAAATGAGTTAAGAATATATTGAAAAGGAAGCCAACATTTAAGCAAGAGGTCATCTTTTTACAGAAGAGGAAAAGAGAAAAAGTGTTAGGAGAGCCAGGGAATATTGCACCTGGTATTGCACAAACTAAAAATTTGACTCCCAGAAGGAAAGGGAGGGCTGCAAATCACGTTCTCAAGAAGGGCGGAGGGCTGGGGAGAGAGAAAAGAGGAAGCTCCCTGGGCAAAGAGAAAAGATAATGTTGATATGATGATCACCTCCCGATGAGTACCATTTGTTCTTTCTCTTTAAACTCAAGCAACACAAGTTTTATTTGTGTTCTTTTTTTTTTTTTTTAACGCACTACTTTCTGTCGCAGGTGACTCCGTATTTTTTACGAAGCTTTAGTAGCCAACAGAAAAGTTCCCGCTTGCCTAGCCTCCTTTTCCAAGCAGGGCGGAGGGAAAATGGACAGCATGCTGGGCCTGAGAATGCATTTTACACTTCCCGCTCCTCCTCT